GTCGCGCATGATCTCCGCGTCGAAGGCGGCCATGTTGGCGATGCCCTTCTGCGGCCCAAAGTCGCCGTTGATGGTCTCCTCCGCGCCGTCTTCGGCGTCGGAGTCGGCGGCGAAGTCGGCCTCGGGCGCGGCGACCGGGATCTCCGTGCGGTAGCTCGACGTCGCGGGCTTGCCCTCCGCGATCTCGGGCCGGGTCCGCTGCCCGAGCCCGAGGAGGCCGACGCCCGTGTGCCCGACGAGCACACGATGAAGGAGCTGTGCGCCGCTGACGACTGGCCGCACCGCGTCGAACTGCGCGCGCCCCTGGGAGACTTTGCCGACGCGGCGGCGGCGAGGGAGTGGTACGCGCAGCAGTTCGAGTCCATCAACCCGAAGTACCTCTACCGCTACGACCCCGAACAGTTCTCCGGACCGCCGCGGTTCTACACCGGCGACGAGGACCTGGACCTCGTCCAGCTCTTCACGGAGATCCGCGCGCGACGGATGGCGGATCAGACGTCGATGGCGCTCCTGCAGGTCACGTCGTCGTTGGGCGGCGCCAAGCCGCGCGCTTCCGGAGTCGAGCGGCGGCTGCGCAGCGTGCAGGCGCGCGCGACGGGGTCGCCCCTGCCGCGCGCTGACCAGGCCGTCGTCGACGCGACCGTCGCGAACCGGGCCTCGGAAGCGGCCGCGACGTATCGAGACCGCAGGGCAGTGAAGTGATCAACGTACATCTAGACACGCCCATAGGAAATTAATTAATAAAGATCAATCATCGAATTCCGGCCGGCGGAGCCAGAGTCATTAGTCCTCCATAGAGGCTGTGCGTCGACCGCGCGCGCGGGCGCGGTGTCGCGGAGGTCCGCGGGCTGAAATCACGGCCAAAATTGGTTAAATGGTCGTATCAAAGCAAGCTTGATGATACTCACGCGTTGATTGCACGTTTGCGAAGACTTTTTGCGCGCGGTCGCTGGTTCGGGTCAAGAAATCGCAAGATTTAACTTCAACAAAAGTGCTGAAGTTCAACAAAAATGTTGACTTTTAAATCCAGGCTATCAGAATCCGAGTTTTGATCACTTCACTGCCGCAGGGAGAACGGCGTCTTCGCTCTGGCCGGAGGTCCGAGCTCGACGCTGGAGCGCATCATGGCCTCTGCGCCCGAGCCGGCGGCGAAGAAGCAGAAGCGATGGAACACTACGTGGCTTTCGAAACCTTTCAGAGCGGCCATGGGCACGCTCAAGAACGTGTCCGCCAAGAACGTCCGGAACCACTTCGGAGGAATTTCGCGCTGGTTTTCCAAACGACTGTGCGACGCCGAGAGCAAGCGGCGCCGCCGCGCCGCCGCGCCGCCGCGGCCGCGCCGCCGCGCGCGCGTCTCCTGCCGAGATCCCTAAGCCCGAGTCCCGCGGCGCCCCGAGCCCCCGGGCGGGAGCCGTGCGCGCGTACTACCGGCGCTATTCGCGGGATTAGGCGTCGCG